CACACACACACACACACACACACACACACACACACACACACACACACGAAAAGCCGTGTTTAGCCATTTCAGATTGTTTGGGGACTTAGGAGGGGGAATGTGCTGTATAGTGTACTTTACTAACTTCCAACTGCACTATATCCATCTATGGAAAAATATTCTCAAACACAATAAATGGCTTTCGGGGGGGAGGGGAAAGAGAGGGAACTTCTTATTTGGAAAAAATATATATATATCTATCACCTAGCTTAGAGGTAAGATTCAGGTAGACAGCCCTTAGGTCTGAAACTAAAAAGTACAGTTGGCACCGTCTCAGACTTACTTCAATAAGCAAATTTATTGGAATAAAACTGCCTGGTCGTCGTCCTTTTATTTGACTGTTACTTATTTTGACCTCTGGCCCTTTTCCTACAGAGCTATTTGGCCAGCTAGTACATCTGAGTTTCTCGCAGAGTGAAATGAATAACTTCAGCTGAAAACTTTGAGCAACAGAGCCCGGCCTAATCCTCAGCTCTGAGTGCCCAATATGCAGCAAAGAGCAGACCCTATTCACTGTGAACACAATTTTAATTATAAGAATCTGGGAGACTTCTTAAATACCAAAATGGCATCATTATCACTCAGTCCTTAAGGCTTATAATAGTTAAATTCTAATGGATGGACAAAAAAAACAAAACAGCAACAAAATTCCAACAACATTTGACATGGATGTTTTCAAAGAACATGAAAAAAAAATCCCTTGTGTTTAAAAAAAAAAGATCTTGCAGAAAACAACCTCAAAATCCTCCTCTCATAAGAATGATTAGTTCTAAGGATAAATCCACAGCATGTCAGCATGGACACGTCACACAGGAAGCTCTGACACAAGCAGGTGATCTCTGGATCTCTGGCAAGTCATCTCTGGAGCAGGTTTTGTCCCAAGCTCATTTCTTCAAGTAGTGATTGGAAGGACAGGATAAACTGATGGTCGGGTATGGACACTGACTTTAGCAAGTACAGATGGAATTTGTTGTGTTCAGTGTCCTTATTATCTCCACCCAAACGCCAGGGTGAGTGGGAAACAGGGCCACTGTCTGGAAGGCTTCTAGCCGGCTTCCTTCCAATGAGCTGCAGTCAGCCGCTGAGCAGGAGGTTTCCATGGGATCACGGCGCTGACTGCCACAATCATCACATCAGTAATTTATGCAAACTCAGGGCACCATTCTGGATTAGCTTAAAAACCGTCTGCTATTCAGTTTTCTGTATCCATTTTAGATCGGAGCCACACAGATCTTCTAGTCTTTTGGCAGCTCTACTATAAGAATCTTTTTGCTTTTCAAACTTTTGAAAATTTGGTTACCAAATGACTAACTACAAGCATAGCAACAAATCAGTTAAAACTGAGAAACTAATCTGCTGTTGCTCGAGTAGGCCAAAGTTATTTTGAATTTATTTAACAAAAGAGATGATTTGTGACAAATAACCTTTTTGCAAGTGAAAAGAAAAACTACCAGCATAAGCAAGTTTTGTACGTAGTAAATTTTAAATAATATAAACATGTGCACATTTATTCAGTTAAGCATACATGTTATTACTTCAGTTTGAAACCTAGCAGATGAAAACTATCGATTTCACTGCAATTTTAGCTCCCAGTTCAAATTATTGCCCAATCTCCTCTCCATGTGAATTCCCCAGAGCCTGCCTGTTAAGATGTACATCTGACTGAGCCATGCCTTAGTAATAGGGCTTGACAACATGCAAGGAGTGGCCATGCTTCTTCTGCAGCCTTAATGCACTTTGCCGAAAAAATAGCCTAACTCAGGACTAGTTACAAAGGAGGTACCAGTTAAGAAGTAGATTTGAAATGAAGTCAAATGCCGGTAAATTACAGATATTACAATTGGACAAGATATTTCCAAGTACTAAAAAATGGTACTTACCATGGAAATCCTTATATAGAGAACTGGCTTCTCTCTCAGAACCGAGAAATGATTCAAGACCAACTACTGTATCCGACAAGTTTCTAACTCGTGCAGTAATTGCTTTATTCTGTAAAACATGGAAAAATACTAATTTTTAAAATTTTACAAATATAAGCAACATTCATACAATACGATTTTATTTATTATTGATAGACTGAAGTAAAATAGGAAAAAAATGGAGAAATAAAGTAGAATGCTTCAGAGAGCTGTCACTACGCGAAGCGATGCCTGAGTCAACGTGCACGCAAGACCGTTTGCAGGGGCCAGGGCTGGTCTCAGCAGTGAACAGGAGCTGGTTTTCTGCTGTCTTTAGGTCAAGTCTGTGCTCATCAATAGAGCTTCTTGATTCCCAGGCAGCTTCACCCACTGCCTCTTGTGGGCTTGGCAGACAACAGGAATCAAGGGAGTAGCAGGGAATACTATTCAGGATCAGCAGAGGTCTCCTTGCCGCCTGTCAGCTGGGATGGGCTCCTAGGCCTGCAACAGCTGAGGTCTTGCTATGGAATAGAAGAAACCCTAAAGGATTCAGCTAAGAGGCTGCAGGTCTTGTTGGGTTATTGAGTCTCCTGCCCTGTCTCCAAATGCTGCCCCTTGGTAATTGGGTCAAGAACAAAGGCACAGTAAAGAATGCAAGCAACCAACATAGGACCAACAAACAGTCCATGGTTTGTTCCTCTTGAGGCAACACCAGCTGCACGAAAATACTGCATTATCATCAATGCTAATAATAAATCCTGTTACTACAACATTGAATTGTGTCATAAATAACTGGAAGGTAAATTCTCAGAGTATATCCATCTGCAGAGCAGCAATGGCTCTGAAAATACTCAGAATTCTATGTCTATCTGAATGTAGGTATCAGCCTTGGAAAGCCTTGACAACTCACTCAACTAAATAACATAAAGACTGAGTATGACTTTTAGATTTTGACAGCGATGAGACCAGACAAATGTTATGTATGAGAATGTCTTAGACATGCTTATTCTGAAAAGTTTGCTCTAAGTTGAGGATATTTTTACTCATTTAATTTGATTTTAAGATTTTATGAAGTCCCCATTTCAAACACTGGTCCAAAATGTCTTCTCCTCTTCTTTGCATCTTAGACACTTTGCATCTTAGTGCTTGGTACATAGTAGATACTTAATAAACGCTGGTTGACTAATTAGTTAGGATTAGACTAATAGTTTAAAAATTATCATTGAATAAAGAAATATAAATTCAAATAGTTAAGAAAATTTAGCAAATCCTCTACTTGTGTCCATAGATGAGGAAGGACCAATGATGGTCAAGGCATTATGCTGAAATTACTTGCCTACCTACACTACATGTGGCTTAAGGGATTTTCCATAAGTTGGAAGGCACATTTGTCTTTTTTAAAAAAATCCAGCAAAACTAATTAAAATTAAAAAAAAAAAACCCAAACATGAGGAACAAGCAAAAGTAATAGCACAACTTAGACTTGGGAATACGTATTTGTATGTATATGTGTCCACATCTTCTTTAGTAAAGAAAACTTTAGAGTTTTCTATGTAACGGTGAGAAAAGAACTGAGATTGATTACTTATTTTCATCCATTTCCTATTGAAGATAATCCTACTCCAGAATAACAGTGTCTTCATACACTAAATACACATCCTTTTCAGCATTTCTTTAGCCAAAGACCACTATATCAAACTCATCCAGGTTGGGTTTCAGCCAGTTATTCTTCACCCAAACAAAAATGTCTGCCAGACATTCCAACAGCTGGGAGACAGTTCACAGTGAGTCAACTTGAAAATGATTCATTGTGCTTAGTATTGAACAATGTTGGGGTGGGGGTGGGTCAGTATTGGAGGGTGAGAACGAGTGGGAGATAAGGAAAGACAACCAGCAGGCGCTCATCACTTCTTCAGCCCTCATTTTTGGGATAAGCTCAAGTAGGATGAGTTCCACTGTCATGGACTGCAGATGAACATTTGTTAATGTCCTGACAAATTTCCTAATCAAAAATGTCAGCTTTACTGTTGTCTATCTAGAAATAAGTAGGCCTAAGTTTAGGAACTAGATATTGGAAACTGTAGGGATGAAAGAAATAGTTTAGCAGGACTCTAACTGGCATTTTAGTCACCTAAGTCATCTTTTCCAATGACTCTAAAAAGGCATTACAGAGGGTATGTAGATATGTGATTGTTATGAAATCTCTGCATATTTTAAAAATTAGGATTTTTTCCTCCATCTCATCAGGAGGATTCAGACTGGTTCATCTACTCTCTATTTAGCTAAAGAGGGTCTCTCTCTCTCTCTCTTTCTCTCTCTCTGTTACATCTTACTTTTTCACCAATTACTTCCATAATAGCTGGCTGTCATTATCATTTTTAAAACTCCATCATCTGCTGGAATAATATCTAGGAAACACTCAAGAAGGAAATCTAGTAGCCAGTCTGGAGAAGAAACAAGTGAACTGTTAACTGCTCCAGGCTTTGGCAGCATTAAGAGCTATCTATCTAGGAGTCCCTCCTTCCCCAGGAAGTTGGTAACCATCTTTCATTGTTTCATTTTTGACTTGCACAGGCTTACCACCTAGCTATTAACAACAAACCGAGTTCTATCGTAGATGCTTGCATGAAGTGAAAGAACAAGAATAAACCATTAACATTAAAGGACTTATATTTAACAATGACTCTTACTGCTCTCTGCATGCTAATTTTGGTAAACAGTTTGTTTTAAATTGTGCAGGAAGCCACTTCGAATGGGAGAGTTGTGCAGCTATCAAGAGGATGACTACATGGTACAGAGCTTGGGAAATTATATATGGTTAAGACCTGCTCAGTTTTTGACTGAGTTAACCTTTATTTTCATTACAAGCTCATCCATCCTTCTGGTTTGATCTGGGACCAAAAAGCATATCTCTGTAGGGCAATGTGCAGCATAAAAAAGTTTTAAAATTGCATTACAAGTTGCTTTTATGCCAGTACTTTTATTCATAAAGAGTAAAATGCATGCCCCTCTCCATCTCCTTAATCTCATCTTAAATTTCCTCCATTTTAATGGTCTTTAAATAATAATAGTAATAACAACAATATTAAATGGCTTTTTGATTGAGAAGCCATTTTTGATTGAAAAAAGAATCCAAAGTTACCAGCTTAAAAAAAAAATGGAAAGCATAAAAACCTGCGCCGTATGGAGAATGCAGCATGGACAATTATTGTCCTAACAATCCCTGTGTTTGAAGAGATTCAGCAGGATGTTTATGCACAGGCCTTGGAGCCTGAAGCTCCATTTTGCGTTCACTTGGATTCTGGTTGCCTCAGTCTTATAGCATTAGGTAAAATGTTTTAATCGCAATATAGTGAGGGATTCAATTGTATGGTGCATACTTGGACACAGGGAATGAACATAATTATTCACAGTGAATTTGTAAAATTTACACTTCCCAACATGCAATGTCTAGTGACAGGGCATTCAGCCTTGGTTAACATCAGTGCATTATTCTGATGGTGGCAGTGTATGCAAGGCATGCTGACATCACCAACATACGTAGCACATACTGCCGCTCATCATTTTTGCCCATCTGGACTTGAAAATCTATCAGAGCTCCAAAATCCCTCTTGCTCCATACAAATCTCCATCCAGCTACTCAGTGAAAGTTGGCAGTTCTGGAAAGCAGCCAAGACATGGCTAGGAGGGAAGCCAGAAGAGGAGAGAGCCAGTGGCCAGCAGTTTTAAGAGGGTTTTTTTGGCAGCTATGAAAGGCATTGTTTTAAATTACATAAAAAACATATTAAAGTTCCCAGTTGCATTGTGATTTTATATGAATCATTTAAATTAAAACTTATGATATTGTTGCAAAGGTAGAAGCAGATTAAATCAGATCTCCTGCAGTGGTTCTACTTTTGCCCTTGACTCACGTGTTGGTGTTTTGGTTCCTAATGTTTCTTCTTTGGTTTTGCAGAAAGTGGAATATTTTAAAGGCCTCTTAACAAAATCCACTGAGCCAACTGCGAAATCAAGGAGATGCATTTTGCATTGCTTTTCCATTTACCTCACTAAAACACCCAATATGTACTTTAAAAAGGGTTCTCAATCATATGGTGAAGATTAACATGTTAAAAATCAGGCTGCCTCTTCCATTGTCATCATTCATCCAAAATCAAAGTCAAGCAGAAGAGCTCAAACCCTAGATATCTGTCTCACTTTCACTACTTAAGCCATGAAGTCCCCAATAGTGTAAGACACAATATATCAAAACAAAATGTACTTCCAAGAAATATTGTAATAGCAGTATCAAAAATTAATTAACCCATACTAACTTAATCATCATGAAGCTTGAAAGGAATTAGCCAATTAGCATAATGCACATATGCGAAGCCTTGGCTAGAACAAACCCCATGGTTGCTCACTTTGCACTCAATTTTGAGTGGAGGCAGCAATCAATATAATACGAAAGACACAGCTCCCAAATTTGAAAGCATCAAGCAACATCACAACCCTAAAGAGAATCCAAGAAAGAGAGACAACCAAGTAAATGGAAAGCATGGTCAAATGAATGCGGAGGAAAAATGATAAAGGGATAACCCTGGCTCTTTGGCCAGAGTCAAGGGTACACGTTTAAGCTGCTACTTCAAGATGTCTTGAATCTATGGACTTACTATACAATACTGCAAGTAATTAAGGTTCATAAAAACAGTAAGACTGGTATTGCCAACAGCTGATATATATAAGGCCATTTTCTAGAAAAATAAAACATAGATAACATGAAAATATCCAGAAATCATAATGTCCTTGTAACATCTTAAAATGCTTAGATCAAAGGATTAAAACACACTGAGGGCTAGTTCATCACAGATAATCTCTACTTAAGAGTAATTTATTTACTTTTTAAATAATTTAATTTTTGGCTCAAATTATACAATTAATTTATACTATTTTTTCAATATTCTTCAAAATTTTTTCCCCAGGGTTCATAACTATTAATTAGTTCTTTATTCTACCAAACAGCTCTTTACAAAAAGGAGGTAGGGATGGTTTTGTTCACAATTTTAAAGTTATTGAAATATGGTTGTTATAATTATACATAAATTATATGTG